TTTGTCAGTCTTCTCATGTTGCGTCGGCAAACTGGTGAAAAGTGTTTTTTTTTCTCCTTTTTCTATCACCTTGATATTTCATTTTCTTAGTAACGGTCGCAATTGATGTCTCAGTTCTTATGAGAGCAGGCAAATCCACTTCTGGTCGTCCTCCTGATTCCTGATCTAATTTTCATAAAATCCGAATTTGTAATCTGCCCTTTATAACATCTACATTTTTTTCTTAAAATTTTCTGGATTACCTGCTACTAAGGCAAATCCGTGTCTGTTTGTCCAACACCTCGTCCCAGAACTCAGTGCCCGTTAGTCGTAAGCTTCTGATGATAAAAGTCCTCAGTATTTCTATTTTTCCATCTATAGTTATTGTGAAACTAAAAATAAAGGATTATTCCCGCATATGAATGTTTTATATATAGTCTCATCATGAGTGTCTCGTTGGAGCGCATGACCTCAATATCCAGAAAGGCTATTCGTTCATCCTCCTCCACCTTCATAGTGAATCTAATTTTTTCATCGAGTTTGTTAATGAAATTGAGAAATCCATTCAAATTTTCCTTTCCATGTGACCAAAGTCATCCAAGTATCGCATAAGCACTCTTGGTTGCATTGGTAACTTCTTTAATTCTCTTTTCTACTTGTCCATGTGCATATTTGCCAAATGAGGTGAGAGTGGAGATCCCATCGGTAGTCCAAATATTTGCTCGTAGATACTGGCGTCAAATGTAAAATACGTAGTCCTTACTGTCAAGTTGATTAGTCGTGTTAACGATTATTTCCATATCCGTTCTGCCTCCAGGATATCCTTTTCTCGCTCCAATATCTCCAGCAAGGCGCTTACCGCCTTCTCATCTGAGATGCTTGTGTACATGGATTGTACATCTAAATTCACCAACAGTTCCGACCCCACTAACCCAATGTTCTGGATCCTTTGCGAAAATTAATGTGATTGCTCAACGCTATTCAAGAGTCTGTCATTTACTTTCTTGAGCCTTAAGAAAATGAATTTAGCTAGCTTGTGTATTGCTCCATGCTTGCTGTTGATTATTAATCTTAGCAGATTGCTTTCCTTGTGTATATTTGGCAGTCCGTAGGCTGTCGGTGGTCGTGCGTCATTTTTTATCAAAGATTTCATCATCCATCTATCAATTTCCCCATTATTATGCATTACTTTGAAAATATTCTTCGGTTTTCCTTTAATCTTCGTGGTCGGATCCTTCATTAGTATTTAATAAGTGTTCCGGTCGCCTAAGATACTTTCCATTTTCTCCGTGTATTGTTTCCTACCCATTACAATTTTCCCTCCTCCCTTAACCGCTTAAAGATTTATTTTATCATTCTTTTGTAATTTTTTTCGTATACCAGCCAAATTTGCTTTTGTGTCAGGATCCGTAGAATTATTTCCATTTCCATCTCCCACTTTGCCGCTTCTATATATTTATCCGATATTTTAATAACTTCTACCAAAATATCACTACAAACCTTCCCTTCGTTACCTAGGTAAAAATGTTGCTCCTTCTTTAAGAGATTTATTGTTTCAGAATCAAGAGATATTAAAGATAGGTTTACCACCTTAACTCTATCGTTGTCTGCCTTTAATACACAACCATAAAAATTTGCCCAGGTTGGCTTGGTCTTGCATTGTATTTTATCCCATAGCTAAGTAATTTCTTGTCATGCC